GGCTGTGCCTATTAGACATGTCGAAGGCTTTTGATAAAGTGCACCACGACAAGTTAATTCAAGACCTCCTTGCGGTTGGAATTTCTGGAAAAGCCCTTAGTTGGTTCGTCGACTACTTGTCCGGCCGCAAGCAGCAGATCCTCATCTCGCCTTCAACCAGCCCTGCTCTGGCTTGCACCTGCGGAGTGCCCCAAGGCTCTGTTCTCGGCCCTGTCCTCTTCAGTATATACACACGCGATGTCCCTTTGGTTTCCTCGCCTGTGCCAAGTGTACAATTTGCAGTTGACATAGCCCTGTACGACTCCCAGGCCTCAGCGGCGGAAGCATCTAGAACCCTCACCACAGCGGCAACTGCTCTGGCCGGTTGGCTGAAGTCCCGAGGCCTCATCTTGAACGCCACCAAGAGCCAGGTTCTGACTATCTCTCCCCAGCAGCATGTACAGGAAGTAACAGTCAAAAGCGGCGACTGTCTCCTCCCCTCAGCGTCTTCTGCGCGCTACCTCGGCGTTCACCTTGACAATCGCCTAGATTGGGACACCCATGTAAACTATGTGGTCACCAAGGTTGCCAAGAAAATTGGCGCCTTGTGGCGGGCACGCCGAAGCCTATCAAGACGCTCTCGTCAGGTGTATGTGAAGGCGGTCATAATGCCCGACCTGCTTTATGGCTCCTGCTGTTTCTCAGCCGCAATGCGAGAGGGTCAACTCAAACGACTGCAAACCACGCAAAACAGAGCCATCCGCTGTATCGATGGCAACCCGCCCCGGACAGCCATGCAGCCGCTGCTCACTGCTCACTCCCTGTACCGTGTCAGCGAGCTCTACAGGCAGAAAATATTGATCACCATCTGGCGGTGCATCCACGCCCGCACCAGCCCTGTGCTCGCCCAGCTTCTGACCCCGGCACAAGGCACCCCTACCCGCCATCAGCAGTCAAATGGCCTACTAAGCCAGGCAAACCGTAGCCGCCGCGGTCAGCGGAGATTTTCTGTTGCTGGTGCTCTGCTGTGGAACGCTCTCCCTGGTGAGGTCCGCACAATTACCCGGCTACCTGAGTTTAAGCATGCATGTGTACCATACGCCTGTAGGGAGTAGTTCGAGTTGCTGCTGATCGCTCTGCTCTCCCCCCCCCCCCCCCCCCGTGCAGTTCAGTGACCCGGACGTAGTATCACAGATACATCGTATTCTCTCTCTCCCCCCGTTTACCCGCAGTTATTAGTATCCTATTCTCTTACTATGTGCTGCCATAGCTTTTACTATGTTCTTCCATAGCCACTTCTAGGCTAAGCCTTCGCCGTCATTTTATTGGGTCGTCATCCCGTTTGAATGTGCGAAGTGAAATAAAAACCAACCAAACCAAACCTGAAACTTCACCTTGCTTGAGATGAAACTTCACCTTGCTTGAGTTGAAACTTTCACCTTGCTTGACATGAAACTTCAGACTGTGATGATGAAACTTCAGAACGAAACTTCAGCCGGAGCGCACGGAGGTGGAACTTCAGCTTGTGAGTTTCTGCCATTGTTGTGCAACGAGTGCCATAAAGGACTTGCACGGCATTACTGACCATCAGCTGGTCTTAGTAAAGACTGTCTTGCCTATGACTAAACCTACGCGAGTTGTGCGGCAGTTACGGAAGCCGCCATTGTGGAAACTGCCTGCAGACGAATGCACCGATTCCATGCTTGATGCACTCACTGATTCCGCCTTCCGCAGAGTACCCCCAGATGGCTCACCAGACGTTAACACAATGGCAACTAGCTTCTCTATTCTATGCAAAAGAGTTCTGAACGAAAAGTCGCCTGTGAAACAAATTACCATCAGTGCTAGGGCTAAGCCTAAACCACAGCCTTGGGTAAGCGATCAACTCCGAAGGTTGTTAGAAAGGCGCAAGCACCTCCACGCGAGGGTTTTGAAACATCCCGGAAATGAATCTGTGAAACAACAGTACAGGGCAACAAGGAGGGAAGGCACACTGTTAAATAGAAAGCTGAGACGAGAGTATTACAACAGGGAGTTTCGAGATGTGAAGAATAAGCCAAGGCAACAGTGGGCGCTTCTAAACTCGCTCACAGGGCGCAACTTTGTCCGTGAACAACCAAAAGCTACGTTAGGCGATCTGAGTGCCACATTTGCGTCCATTGTCACTGATCCTAATCCTTGCCCACCCTTGAGCAACCTAATACCTGACATCTCGACAACAGCTGACGCAGACGCCCCATCTTTTAAAGAATTTCGTGCCGTTTCAGCTCTGGAGATAAGCGACCTGTTGAAGCATTTGAACTGTGCCAAGGCAGCTGGATCGGATGACATTCCTCCTCTGCTCCTACGCCTCTGTGAGCCTGCCGCTGCAGGTCCCATAGCGCAGATCATAAACGAGTCCTTGAGTACTGGAATGGTGCCAGACGTCTACAAATTGGCTACAGTGTGTCCTGTCCACAAGTCAGGGGACAAATCTGAAGCGTCGAATTATCGCCCCGTTTCACTTTTGCCGATTGTTTCTAAGATGCAAGTCAGGGGACAAATCTGAAGCGTCGAATTATCGCCCCGTTTCACTTTTGCCGATTGTTTCTAAGATCCTTGAGAAGGTAGTACATCGGCAAATGATTAGGTTCCTTCAAGATCACGCTGAGCTTCGTATTCTCCCAGACGAGCAATTCGCCTACCGCAGAGGGCACTCCTGTGAGGATGCGTTAACTCTCGCAGTAAACCGCTGGATGATGAGTGTGGACAAGGGCGAGTATTGCGGGGTTGTACTCGTGGACATGAGCAAGGCCTTCGATCGGGTACGCCATGAACTACTACTTAACGAGCTTCAAGCTATTGGCATAAGCGGAGTAGCACTACAGTGGTTCTCCAGCTATCTCCAGGGTCGACGACAACAGGTGAAAATTGGAAATAACAGAGGAGACGAGACACATTGTACACGAGGCGTTCCGCAAGGGTCGGTGCTAGGGCCTCTGTTATTCTCTTTGTACGTGCGACATGTCCCTGGAGTACTTCGCCACGCAGAGTCCCAACAGTATGCTGACGATATCGCCTTTTATATACACTGTCAGTCTACTGGAGAACTTCAGCACAAGTTGACAAGTGAGTTGAACAGACTAAATACGTACCTTGGAAGCATTGGTCTCATCTTGAATGCCCAGAAAACGAAGTTCATGGTGCTTCGGAAGAAGGCTCTGCCTCTTCCGCCGGATCTTACCATTGCATGCGGTGGTGTCGATATTCGACCTTCTGCCACAGCGCGTTATCTTGGCCTCATTATTGACCAACACCTCACCTTTGAGGATCAAGTCAACCATGTGTGTACATCTGTTTATAAGAAGATAGGAGCATTCCGCCGCTGCCGCCGTACAGTAGATCACACAACTAAGCGAATATTTTATTTATCCCTCATCCAATCCACTATTGAATACGCCAGCAACTCGTATGCTCACTGTCTTACACCATCTTTATACTCTCGCCTTGTTACTTTAAGTCATATCAGCATGAAACAGGTTTTTGGTCTCCCTCGCCGTACCCCGACTGTCTTTGTTTTGCGGCACGCTAAGTTATACTCCCTCGAATCTCGTCTCAACTTGAGGCTTTTTATTTTTGTTTTCCGCTGTATTCATCAGCTTACAAGTCCTCTTCTTTCCTCAATGTTCACCCTCCAGTCGGCTGCTACTTGCACCGAGAGGCGCACTAGAGGGCAATCATTCTCTTCACTTTCTTTGCCCGCTGCTACCACTAGATATGGCATGTTCTCCATTTCTTTCCTTGGCGCTGATAGGTGGAATTCTCTGCCTGTCTCGTGTCGTCAGGTTGAGCATCTATCCGTTTTTGTTTCGCTCTGTAAAGAGCACTTAGGGTTCCCTGTAACAAGACGGCAACGTCTGTAGGGCCTTCCCTATCAAAATAATAAATTCTACTACTACTATTCTACTACTTGAGAACTTGGGCAGGCAGGCACTCGGTGTTTCTAGTTGATGTATTTCAAGTTCGATTTATGCAGATTAGTGCAGTGCAGTGGCTTTGTTTGCGCTGCTAGCATGCTGCGGGTGCGTTGCAGGTGCACTTGCACGTGCACGTTCTGCTGAGGAGAGCGTTCTGGCTTTCACTTGTGCTGTCGTGCGAGGGTGGCAGTGTGAAACACAATCAGACATGGATGTCAGAGCAGGTATCGTTGATTCCGGCCCTCGAGCGGCCTTCGGCCTTGGGCCGCTCTCGGGCCTGAATCAATGTCTGATTCTTCAACTACATGTACTTCAAGGACGCCCGGGCCTAGTAGTTAGTAGGGAGGTTTAGTCCCACGTAATCCGTGGGTACTTTACGTGGGTGTACCACGTGATACTCAGTGACGTGACCCACGTACAGACGTTTTCTGATTCACGACATACCGTGTATGGAGGCTCACCCACGTTCCGCCAGAACGTGGGTGAAAATCAGAATGGAGCGCATTGTGCGAGCTGTGAGGGTGCTCAGCTGAAGAAGTTTCCGAAGCACGAAATCAAAATATTGGATGAGCTTCTTAGGCCGGGGTCTTTGACCAGGTTTTGGCCTTTAGCCGCTTCATGCTTTTGTTTGTTCCGTGTGACACAACATTGCAACGTGGGTGCCCTTCATCCACTTTACGTGGATCACCCACGTAGATCTACGCGTTTCCGTTACGTGGGAACTAAACCTCCCTATTAGGGGCGCGGACAAAAAAAAAAAAAAAAAAAAAAAAAATTAGGGGCGCGGACCGCGAACACAAAGTCAAAGGTCTGAAAGACTGAAGCCCAGAAAGTCGTCAAACGCCTTATTTGATGGCTCGGTCACTCGACACGCGGATTCATGGTTTTGCACCAGGGCCTACACGTTGTAGGGTCATACCGGAATAATCCCTGGCTTGCTAGTTGCTGTTGTGAAGCTCATGAAGTCGTAACTCGGGCGACATGCTGAGCATCATACCGGTAATCATGGTAATCATGAAGAGATACGGGAAGAAAGAACTAACTGTATTAGTAAGTAGTTTTAGTAAGTGTTAGTTAGTTACTTTCAAGAAATTGCTTTCGTTGTCTTGATTTTGAATGTGGCCCATCGGCAGGGGTGTGCTTTCTCTTCTTCGTCTGGCATTATACGGATGTATGTAGAACCGAAGCATGGTTCTTGCCCGCCAAATATACAGTACGCAGTCGCCTTTTGACGACCGGCCGCATAGACTTGGACGTTGCTGTTTGATATTTGGAGTGGAGGACCCTTCTTGAATACGGTAAACTATTGCAGTGTTGCTCGTTCCCTATGCTGTGTCGGAACCTGTATGATTTCTGTCCAGTTGGCATGAGAGACAAACCCCTTTGTGTTTTCCCTGTTGCCAAATATATCGTCGCTGAACGGATGTTTTGCGAAAGTATCGGGATGAGTAATCGTTCAGCGGCCGAAATCTTCCGCCCCTGAAGAAAAGCCGTGTACACACACGAAAGTAAGGGAGAAGTCGCTCCACTCAAGGCTGAACGGATAGGGCTGTTCATTGTGGGTTCACTATGCCTGTGGCAGAGAGCGAGGGAGGGGGAGACGGAATTCGACGTGAAATCAGTGTTCGAAACAGCGTCACCATTACCAATCACCAAAATTTCACGGGAGATGTCGATGTCACTTGTTCCGCGAATCCAGGGCCGCTGGTGAGGCCCTTCTGGTTGTATTGCTATAAGTAAAATCCTGTCGGGAATGGTGGTTTCACAACTCTCTCCGTCGATGTCTTTGCAAGGATGTTGCATAGAGTGGTTTCACATCTTGTCATCATTATGACTAAATTTGTGTGTAAAATGATCATGGTATGTGGACAGTGAGTCTAGAGTTTAGTGGAGTTGGAGCCAACTTGGTTGCCCCGTATAGTCATGTGACAAATGTGAACCAGCTCTAGCATGCTCACAGAACAGGATGTACAGTCGACTCCTGATAGAACGAACACCAGTGTGCAGGAAAATGGCACGTATTCATCTAAAATGGCGGACACCCACGCTGCATACTGTAAAAGCAGAAAATTTCGGTGGTGTAATATTTTCGGTATTCGCCAAAATCGGCGGTTCGGTAGCGGGAAATTTTCGGTAAAACCCGTTCTCCGGGTAGGTGTACTAGTACTACATGTATACAGTATCGGTTGTACCGAAAATTTCGGTGCGTTTTATTTTCGGTAAAAATTGTCGGCACCGAAGTTACCGAAAATAAAACACCACCGAAAATTTCTGCTTTTACAGTACATGGTATGGGCGCACGTGAGCCACGCTGTGGCCCAGTGTGGGGACACTTGTTCGATTCCGCATACAAATGCGTGGAAAAGAAGTTCTCTAATCGCTGGAACTTGTGATTTCTTTCGATATAGACTACTGGTCTTCAAGGTATACAATTGTAGTGACCCAACGAAGTGGAATTTTACCCACCACATACACCAACACCTATTGCTGATCCACACCCTACCTAGACTCTCTCCCACATTTATCAACCCGACACTTCCATTACGCCACTCCACCTTCTACGCACACCAACACCTTCTACCAACCTACACTTCTACCCGAAGGGTGTACCCCTTCCCACCTGTATCGACCCGCACCTAACCTTCACCATTAACTTAGATACATGTATTTCCCACCTTCACCTTCTCACCTCACCTCATCTCACCACCATCACTCCCTATTAACCCGTGCCACCACCCAAAGCCCTCCATTCTTTATCCACTGACGATGTTGTTCAGAACAACGAAACGTCTGGAGAAGTATCGTAAAAATTTCTATCGTTATTAAATGTTATCAAATATACCACTCTTTGGTCTAGAAAGAATACTTTTTGAAGTGGAATTTGCGGAATACAACGTTCGAGACGGCTCAACAAGTCAAGAGTAAAGTGCGAATTTACTATGTACGCGAATGAGAAAACCTACTTGTTTCCCTGCAGCGCTAGTCACGTGCGCCTTCAGTGAATACGTGCCATTAAGTGTTCATAATTATAGCCGAAGTTCTCTATAACAGCAATGCATTCACACAGTACCAGTAGCAAGTCATGACGGCACTTGGTCTACATGCGGCCCTTTAAGATATGTCTGAAGAGGGGCTGAGGCTTCCTGCAGCTTCATCTGTGAAAGGAATTCGGGTGGACACACCCATTCCCATAGCGCTGCACATCCGAACCAGTTCCGTTATTTTACAACGTTTCGGCACTTGGCCATCGTCAGGTAACAATGAATACAGTGGAAGATATGGTTCGTTATAAACGAAATGGGTTCGCTGCAAAGGGTCAATTTTTGTATGGGTTCAAATAGGGACATGGGCAATGGTTCGCTATACCTCGAAATTCGTTATATGCAAATTCGTTATACAGTAGGTCCCCGATTACCCGGATCGCCTGGCCAGGCAGGGCAATGGAAAAATAACGGCTTTTTTCCTGATTTTCCCCACGTGAAGCACCATTCAAGCGATGCACAAGATGTATGACAAGTTTAATGTACTTGTACAACAACGGTTGGAGTCAAACTGTGTAATGATAGTGTCATTTTGAGTGACTGATTTCCGTTTCTGTTATTCCTTTGATACTCTGTGTGTATGTATGTGTGTGTGTGTGCGCGCGCGCGTGCGCGCGCGTGTGTGTGTGCGTACGTGCGTGTGTGTGTGTGTGTGTGTGTGTGTGTGTGTGTGTGTGTGTGTGCAGCCAGTGAGCAAGACAAGCGGATAACCAGCACTCTGGGACATGGCATCGTACAGCTCCTCCACGCTGGCTGCTGCTCTCTTAGCCTGCGTACTAGGACTGTTGAGCTCGCCTCTGGACCTATGCCAGGCGCAGCGTAAGTGTGCATCATGTGTATGTGTGTCCATAGCTTGGAGGATAAGGGGTGGTGGTGGAGGTGGAGGTGCAGGGACGAAATCCTGTCCGGCTCAAGAAGCAAAAGTCGAAATACACCGAAAAGCGTGTTTATACAGGCGCAATGTAAGTTTGCATCATGTTTATTATTGTAAGACATGTTATTATAACGAGTCGCAAATTTAACGATTGTCCAAAATTCATAGGTTAACGAGAAGATATGTTAACGATCTTGCAGTATTCTGCCATATCCACACACAGCATATATGAAGCAGTACGGCCTCAACGGATCTTATTATAACGAAGAAATGTCATCCGTTAAAACGTTAGATTTGCTTCCTCGTTATATATACATGTCTTACAGTATGTGTCCATAGCTTGGAGGATAGGGTGGGGATGGGGGGGGGGGGGGGGGGGGGTAAAGGTGCAGGGACGAAATCCTATCCGGTTCAAGAAGCAAAAGTCGAAATATACCGAAAAGCACGTTTATACAGGCGCAACGTAAGTTTGCATCATGTGTTTGTGTCCAATAGCTTGGAGGAGAAGGCGGTGGGGGTGGAAAGCAAAAGTAAGCTACAGCTGTATGAAGAACGTAGCGTCGATTATCAAAGGGCACAATGCTGCAAAACTTCCCCTCCCTACCCGCCTCTCTGCTGTGTTATTATCACTGCCACCCATATATGCATTCGAATATTATGCAGCTTCCCAAAGAATTCCCGCCTCAACCCCTGATGTCCCTGCATGCTAATTTCCACAAGACCACGGAAGTAACAACTTCCTTGTCTTTTAGCACACCCACAGAACACGAGCAGTTTGATTTTTGTGCCATCTGGCCACGGTTCAGGATTGATATTATGAGGGTGAAATAATGAAAATCAATCTTCCATCATTTTCTCCTCCGCCACCTTCAGATTTGCCTCGACCAAGGCTTCAGCCTTGGCCGTCGCCAGTTCCGCTTCTCTTCTTCTCAGTTGTTCCTCGCGCTCCGCCGCGACAGCAGGAGGAGGCGGCTTTGGGGCCGCCTCTCCCGCTGCGGCCACGGTGCCCTTCGTATGCCGGTCTTTGATAGGATGCTGAGCCGGTTTCTCGCCGCCAACACCGAGCGTGGACGCTCGGCGCTGTTGGTCCGACCGGTCCTGGGGACCCCCTCTTCCCCACGGCATGGCCGTTTGGGAGAGGGCCCCGGGGACCGTGCACCATCCCTCTGCCGGTGAGTTACTGGGCCTGGCGATGAGCTTCGAGATGGTTCGACTGCCGCGTTGAGCGACCTGATGGCTGAATGCAGCTGCGTCAGCCCTTGCTGCAAGCGGCGGATCACCCTTGCCGAATTAAATTGGCGCATGGCCTCAAGGGCGGCGGCCGACTGTCCGAGCGCCTCGTGCAGCTCACGGAGATTATCTGCGGGCGGGTTGTTCCGTTTGGGTGGCATCTATAACAACCAGGTCAAACAGAGAACACAGACGTTGGGATCCTGGTCACAGCACCAAATGTCGCATCCCTGCGAGGTTCGTTGCCTGTCATGATCGCTCACAACCCAACCAAATCCAACCGCCAGGCGGTCGACCAATATAGTCGACGACCCAACTTAGTGTTCTGCTCACCTTGGTTACACACGAAGCGAAGACAACGGGTAGAGGATCTGAGAGTCTCATGCTATTACTCAAGTCTGGGAGAGAGTTAATTGTGTAGAGTTATGAGGTGACATTGTTCTTTTATGCACTGAGAAGACGAGATAGAGAAGTTCGTGCAAAGCACAGCGTGATAGTTCTGAGAAGGCGGCGATAATAACAGGTTTTACAACGCATGCATGGCAAGAAAACAGGAAAAGATCAATAGTTCAATAACGGAAACGACAATGAATAAGAAGCACAAACGGAGCAAAAGGCCGGATCGGGACATAGTACGTCTCCGCGGAAATCTTTGAATTATATGGATCACGTCGGGGAGCCCGATCACCCGACGTGATAGAACAGCGTAACTCCGGCGGGATGTTGTTTCATATCCGCGTCCCTTTTCCGGGAACTTCACCGGCGGGCCCTTCGCGGGTCACCGCGGCGTCGCTGTACCACGCTTGTCACGCCTTCCTTTTGCGCCTTCATTTTGCGCGCGGTTCCCCGCTCTTTTGCGCACGCCTCTCGTTCTTCTGCACTCAGCTCTCATTTTTCTGCACTCAGCTCTCATTCTTTTGCGCACGGCCCTTCGTGTCTTGCACGAAGCGCGAAAGGGATCATGGAAATCAATAGGACTTCTCAGTCACATGATTTTGCATGAAGCCTAGAGCGTACATTCCAGGAAGTCAAGAACTTCCTAGAACATTCCTAGAACATTCCACGCGAGAACCTACCTGACCAGGTTCCGGCGGTGAATCATACGATGTGTCCTGTCCAAGAGACATGACACCAACGTGGGATATCACGCCTAAAAAGCATGACACCTACGCGGAACAGCGCGTGCCGCTCAACCTACATGCTCAACACGTGGGACAAGACACTGGCCAAACCACGTGATAGTATAGATTGTGACAGCTCAATCACAGAGCTGCACACTACACAGATCCTGCTGTCACAAGATCTGTCAAACCGCGAGGGTCACGTCCAGGACGTGACATGTGTATGTGTGTGTGTGTGTGCGTGTTACTATGTGTGTGCGTGTTAGCATGTGTGTGTGTGTGGTGTGTGAGCGAGATTAAGCGCGTACTTGTTAGTGCTAGACCTGCGCCTACTGCATCTGCCTCTGAAATAGCCCGTCCCTGTATACATTCACGTGATTACTCCTCTCGCTATCGTATTATCACACCTCTCTCCACTTAGATATACCAGCGCTGCCTTCTATTCCATTATCGTCTGATGATTGGTTCAGCCATGAAACTCTAAGTCACAACGGAATTTATTTGCCAAGGTTTTCATTGTGTGCCTTTGTGTAATAATAATAATAAGGCCAAACTAAAAAAGGTGTGTGGTTCGACTAACATGGACATTTTTTTACGGGCGGGCGGATTTAAAAAAAAATATATATATTTTAGTACATGTAAATACACTGTACTGCCTTTAGACACCCAGTACATCGGCATTATTACGCAGTGTTATGCCATACATGTTGTATAAAGGGATCACTGGCTAATACTTTGAAACATTGTGTGGCAGAAATGTGACTTAGAAGTATGTGTGACTCAGCCCTCCGGACCCAATGAACAGTGCTATGGCAGATGTGTTGAGTAAAGAGTATGGTGGCAAATCGTGAAATCTACATTAATTAATTGGAGCATTGTACAGCAGAAACGGTAAAGGGAAAACAGACTGTGACTTGTAATGGGGAGAAAGACTTAGTTTTTGGTGCAGTATGCTCTACTACGGTTAGTCTGCTAGATGTAAATATATCGCACCAGTCATATGATGTGGAACGATGATGTGGAACACTTTGGTCTACCGGCTACCCTCTGGATGATTTTCAGTGGAAATAGTACCACTTCGAAGTACTCTTTTGTCACTTTTTGTTGAAGTAGTGACGTTAAAAGTTACGGGCAGTACCCGGTCCGGGACCGCTCGGATAGGCGAGGTATGAGTGTATGCACACTTGGGATGCCATTCGGGTACCCGTGTGGTCCTCGTTATGACTGTGTATCTAGGCTTGTGTTCAAAACAGGCTTCTATACGAGACAGGCTTTAGTACAAGACACTACCGACACGTCGCGTTTTGATCACACAACACCCGCGTCATTGTGTGCTGTACTCCCTGTGTGTGTGTGTGTGTGTGTGTGTGTGTGTGTGTGTGTGTGTGTGACTTCTGTGTTGTGCGTCCCTGTTGCGTTCCTGTTGCGTCCCTGTTGCGTCCCTGTTGCAGCCACTGTGACCCATTGTGTCAGCCCAGCAGCGGCGGCAGGCCTCATGGATTCGTGCAAAACCAACCGATCGTCTGGTGCTGATAAAACACTGGCTGGCGTCTTCGGACAAACGCCAAGCATCCTGCCTGAAGATGCCAAGTCTCTGTAAGTGTGATATCGATGCATGTCTATTCAGGGACGTAGCTGGTCCCCCTTTTACGGGGTGCACGGCCGCATATGTGTAAGATGGCTGGTGCATGTCCGTGCATGCTGAAATAGGTCGAAATTGTTAGGGGGGGGGGGGGGGTGCACGTTCCCCCATGCACCATGTGAGTTACCCGCCTGTGTCTTCTTATGTGCTGACGTCACTAAGACGTCACTAGAACTCTGCACGCACGCAGGCCCACCTGTTCGACCTTCCCCATTTGCTGTTGTGTATTTGCCGTCCGAGGGGTGACTTCCTTGTTTTTTTTGTTTGTCTTATGGAATATATTTAAACAGCCTTGTCAATGCTGCGGCGACTGCTCTTTGTTGCGTATCGGTTTTAATGGAAAGACTTTCAATAAAACCGATCCGCAAACACCGCCCATGCCACACGTTGTGAATTCACTACTATCCTACAGGATTTCTATGTGAGTTCATATTATGTGATTTGTGATTGTTGTTCATCACAGGAGCTTTAGTGGGTTCACGCCAGGATCACTGCCTGCCAATGTCTTTTATCCCTTTAGTAAACTCACCAAACTGTAAGTTGGGTTCAGTGAGCTTTTTCAGTAGCCATGTGCGTGCGTGCGTGAGTGCGCACGCGTGCGCATGCGTGTGTGTACATGTGTGTATGTGTGTGTGCATGTGTGTGTTTGTGCATTTGTTTGTGTGAGTGTGTGTATGTGTGGATGTATGTGCATATGCATGTGTGTGCCTGCCTGCCTGCCTGCCTGACATGCACGTCTATCTGCGTGTTTGTATAATGTGTTTGAAAATCTGAAGCACAGAACAGCAGGCAAGCTATGTATTGTGTACATGTATCAACACCAGGCTCTTCTCTTGTTGCACAGACGCAGTTCTGTCGTCAACTCTAGTTATTGTCCAACCAAGAGCATGTCTTTTTTGCATTCACTTATGATCTATGTGGAGACAATTTTCCACTGATGATTGGAACAGGAGAATCGATTCTGGAAATAAGAACACGTAAAACTCTTTACAAGTAGTCATGTTGCATGGTGATATCTGCAGCATTCATAATTTTAACTCTTTACAAGTAGTCATGTTGCATGGTGATATCTGCGGCATTCATAATTTTTAGGGCTCTGATTAAATTGTCTAATGCTCTTGCTCATTCCCTTACAGGGACATTCTAAATTGTACCGATGGTGACCTATCTCTCTATGACTACGTTTTCAATCGTAACAATCTGCTTTCAGAAATGTAAGGATTCGTCGCACTGCATTCAATACATTGTACCAGGGGCGTCACACACGGTACAACCAGTACGGCCATGGTCGCACCACTTTGAGTCCAGGCGTCCAGGATGGCCCGCCCAGTTCATCCAAAAAAGCAATAGCAGAGACCTGAAACGGGTCCTATTGGCCGAAAAATCCCATTTTTTCCCCAGGGCAGGGGCACCCCTGACCCCGATCGTACCACTCCCATGTGACGCCCCTGTGTACTCATACCGAATTGATGGCATTGCCGCAATGACTTGTGAGCCTGTGCTCTGTGTGGTGGGGATTGTGTGGCCTTACTGTCTGTGCGAGAGTCGTTAGTCCTTTGCAGCCCATTGTGTGCTGTATTTGCGGCGTGTACTGCATGTGTACAGCGATGTTTAGGATTGATGTGTATGCGTGCAATAGTAGAGGTCAAAACTCAAAAAGGATAACATCTATCTATCATTGGATGTACTTGCTGTGGTGATGCCTGGCGTCATCCACTGACATATGCATCGTATTCACCTTGCTTTCTTTCCTCATCTCGGTGCATTGTGTGTGTGTGTGTGTGTGTGTGTGTGTGTTCTGTCTCTGCAGTAACATAGTAAGCTGTTCCCTTCCCTCCCTGACAGGACAAATCTTTACCGGATGTGTGCAACTTCGCAAGATGTAAGTCCAGCTGACAATGCATACAGTAATGCGTGAAACTCTCCATTGTCCATGTGAACCAACAAATGTTTCTGCGTCGCTGCATCTATCTGCTTGGTCTTGTACTGGTTTATCGGTCTGTGTTCTCCCACTTTCCCGTTTCCTATCTGTGTCTTGTCTGTGAGTCTATCCGCCTTCTTGTCGGTGTGTCTGTCCACGTTCTTGTCTGTGTGTGTCTGTCCACGTTCTTGTCTGCGTGTCTGTCCAAGTTCTTGTCGATGTGTGTCTGTTCACATTCTTGTCTATGTGTCTGTCCACCTTCTTGTCGATGTGTCTGTCCACCTCACGTGTGCGTCAATTTGCCTTTCTGTGTGTGCATCTGACTGCCTGCCCGTTTGTCCACCTACCTTAGTCTGTATATACATCTCTGAACCGGGCCACTGTGCTTGTATACCTGGCTGTGAATTCAAACATTCCTTCTTCTGTGCTTGCGTGTAGATCTTTCATATCAACATCCACCCACACTCTGCCTCCAGAGTTGTTTCATGATGCCACCGGGCTAACCGACTTGTAAGTGTCTCACAACGCTGCTATCGGTGCAGTCTGGTCGTGTGTGTGTGTGTGTGTGTGTGTGTGTACGTGTGTGTACGTGTGTGTGTGTATGTGTGTACGACTGTGTATGGTATGGCGGGTACACATGCCCTCTACAGTAGGAAACACGTTTTGGTGGGCAAAAAGTTGGTCCGGCGATAACCTGACCAACTGGACCGGTTCCGGCGGGCCTTTGCTATTCCTTTGCTTGAACCCTGTTGTGAATAGTTAATACATTTGGCATTGCTGTTCATCCCCTTTGCTGCAGTGTAATGTCAGGATCACTAATGGCAACTCTACCTATCGGACTGTTTGACGCCTGTCCTCAGCTAGCTCGCATGTAAGCCACTTCACAGCCAAATGGGTTCTTATTGTGCGATGTACATACCCGATGTGAGGACAGCTCTAAGTCATCACCACGGGTTTTAAGTTCTGGTATTGTAACGTCAATGGACATCCAGTGGACAATATAGCCACTGTTGTCAGGTGGTTGCTTATGCGTTGATATCTACGGCTTGACAGTTCAAGTTGATATCTACGGCTTTGCAGTTCAAGTTGATATCTACGGCTTGACAGTTCAAGTTGATATCTACGGCTTGACAGTTCAAGTTGATATCTACGGCTTGACAGTCAAGTTGATATCTACGGCTTGACAGTTCAAGTTGATATCTACGGCTTGACAGTTCAAGTTGATATCTACGGCTTGACAGTTACAAAGAAGAGAAAACATGCATTCAGTGGACTGTTCTCCACGCTCTTCTGTTCCTATAGCGATAGGAGAGCTCAGTGTGTAGGTCTTGCCAAAAAGCCCAACCAGTCTCAGCGGGCTTCTATATTTCTGTTTCAGTTCTCTCTCGTTCTCTTCCTCTCTCTCGCTCTGTCTCTCGCTCTTTCTCTGTGTCGGTGTCTGTGTCTATTTCTATTTCCATTTCTCTTACACCAACGCATATGGCCGATTGGTTTGCAGGCCTGCCTGCGAATCATGAGGTCCCGAGTTCAAGACCCGCGCTGGTAGCAGGGAGCGTGTAAAAAGACTTTTTACGCGTGTTGAACTGTGCCGACACCCACGGTCAACTGGGTACTCACAGCTCGGAGTGAGAATAACAAGTGTAACAACTTGATGAGTCGAGGAATAGATACTCAATGGGAGTAGATAGCATGGCATATATAGGGGGAGAGCATAGGTGATAACTAACACAAGGAATATGTCACAACAAGGATGGCAGTTCACAGGGTTATGGGCCGTTACACGCCCGATTGGTTGAGAGACTAACCTCCTCTCCCCTGACTCACTTGTGAGGTCTGCATTCGCCACTAAGGTTAACAGACATAGTGGTGGCCTGCGGATGCGAAGGCTAGTTTGTGTGTTTCTGAACGAACATTCAAGCGATCCCGACGCGGATCCCGCGAATATTATTATTATTATTTCTCTTACAAGGATGCAGTGAATGGGATTTTCGGTCTTTGACCACTTTGCTGGTGGGCTGATCTACTCACCTTCCACCGCTTTAGGAGCTGCTATTGGTGTCGGGGTCCCAACGCATCCCAACACTCAACAGTATACTATCAGTTATAGTTACATTACATTATATTACTGAAACGGAAAGCCATCTTTGTCTCCAACCAAAGCAACAACTCGCGGAGCAACCAAAGAACAACTAAACTGAAAAGAAGAACCACATGGTTCAAAACCAATACACAAACCCGGCCCGGGCCGTATCGCGTATGCCAGCGACACGTGCATGAAAGCAAGTACAGAATGCAGAAAAGTAGCTTGCATGAAAAGTGCGTAGCGTTCACACCTAGGCTGTATGCTAACCCGCACTACAACTCGCGTACTATACAAAGGACTAGTACTGCGCAGTAGGCACGCATTCAAATATGCTGTAGACATGCACTGCATAAATCTCCAAGTCCTCGTACAAACTGTGCAGTGCTGCAAAGGTACAAATAAATAAATATCAAACAAATAATATTATCAATGTGCAGGTCAGCGACATCCTCCCCACCAAAACCTAGTGCAGGTTTTATAAGTTCAACCATTGCCTGTCGCTATACGCTGGGCGAGCGGAGAAGGTAGCGGATCATCCCACTTGCCTTGTTCCTTCCAGGCCTCTTGCAGGCGGATCTTGCCTGTCAATACTGCCGGTGACACCAAGTCGAGCGGATCAAATGTCGCTGCTATGCACTTCAATGGGGTGCGCCTCGTCCATGTCTTCCAGAGTGGCAGTTGACACTGCATCGCTACGTCAGAGGGAGAGTGTGCCGGCTGTCAAACACTAGACGGCACTGAGGGCATTGCCTGTAGCTGCTGAGGTGCTATGGCTGTTGCTGCTGCTGCTATAGCTGAAATCACTGCTACCATTGCTACTGTTATCATGAAGCAGGGTATGGTGTTTGCTGCCACACTTGCTGCAAGTAACACTACTATCACACATTCTCCGGCTGTGCCCTGTCCGCAGGCAACGATAGCAAAGGCCATTGGTTTGCGCATACTCGCGCCGCAGAGCAACAGGCATTCTGTGGAGCTTGTTCTCATCATCGGCAGTGGACAGCGTGAAGCACTGTGCTGATGCACCCTCGCACTCCCAGGCCACAGGCTTCTTGTCAGATACAGATACACCATGGGCCTCCTGATACGCTGTACCCAGCTCCGTGATCTCTGCCAACGTTTTCTCGCCGATCTTGTTTTCCAGCAAGTACGCACGGAGGTCAAGCGAGCATCCCTGGAGCACAAATTGGCGGACGATTGCCATGAACATCTCACTGTTCCCACTGCTCTGCTTCTGGCCCTGCGGCCCTCCAGATAGCAATGCCCACTCTTGCACCAGTTGCACTACATGGGTTACGTACCGGAAAAACGTGTCCTCCGTCTGCTGATGCAGAGACAAGAGCTCGGACCACGTCTTCTCGGCAGTCTTGCCAAAACTACGTGTCACTTGAACTTTAGCGCTATCATAAGTTGTGACATGATCCAGCACCGGTTCAAGCCTTGTCCCCATCGCAGCCGAACGGAGGGCCAACAACCATGTCGATTTTTCGTAGCCATTTTGCTGAACAACAGCCTCAAATGATATCAAATAACGCCGGATGTCCTGTTTGTCGGTGTATTTCGGCACATCCAACTTGTGGGGGCGCTTCTGCACGTCGTTACTGTCACTACCACTCGCGGCTTGGAGTTTTTCTATCTCCTTCTTACTGTCCAGCTCCTTCTCAGCGATTCGTTCTGCACGGTCTTGTGCTCTCTGGTCCCTATCGGTTGCTTCGGTGAGCTTGCGCTCCACGAAAGAGACCAGTGCCTCGCCAGAATATCCGTAATCCTTGCCAAGCTTTAGGTAACTCGTCTCCAAGTTCATCCATCCAAAAGCCTCAGCGCTTCCACCAGTACCAGGCGATTTCCCTTCGGCTTCGGACTCGGCCATGCTAAGCCAGCACGCTACGATGCACGATTCAAATTTTACTGGGTGGTCGCCAAATATTGGTGTCGGGGTCCCAACGCATCCCAACACTCAACAGTATACTATCAGTTATAGTTACATTACATTATATTACTGAAACGGAAAGCCATCTTTGTCTCCAACCAAAGCAACAACTCGCGGAGCAACCAAAGAACAACTAAACTGAAAAGAAGAACCACATGGTTCAAAACCAATACACAAACTGTTATGGATTGCATGCATGTTATGTGCAACGTCACAGTCCTAGATTACATGCATGCTATGTGTGACGTCATTATCAGATTATCTTAGCTACTGTTACCATGCGCGTAGTTACTGTTGCCATGCGCGTAGTTACTGTTGCTATGCAGCACTCACTGTATCTAGAGTGTGCGCATGTGTGTAATGTGCTTCTCCTTGGATCCATCTTGGCGTCCTGTGCTGCATGTCTTTCCTCTCTGGTTTTACCTTTACTTCCATGTTCCCTTTCAATGCAATGTATTTCTAAACTCTCCGATCCGTGTGTATCAGTGGAACTGTGTATGAGTAGTGTGCGGGCTGAATGCGAACCACAACAATTGGCGACGAAGATAAACTGCAGGCCGCGATTAAAAGTTGAACGATGGATGATTCCGGAGATGAAAAGCCATTGAAGCGTCTCGATGTCACCGGTCCTGCCCATGTCGTGGCAGAGCGCTGGCGGAAATGGAAGAGATCTTTCTCGTATTATGTCGTAGGGAAGGGCATAACGGACAAGACTCGGGCTAAGGCCTTACTTCTGCATTTCGGCGGAGAAGGAATTCAAGACATATACGATACCTTGGAGTCGTCCATAGACCAAACTGCTGGAGACGCGCTGAAGGCGCTGACAGACGCTTTGGATGGACATTTTGCCGTCACTGCCAACGAGCCCTACGAGCGGCACATTTTCCGACAGATGGCCCAGAAAGAGAAAGAGACTGTGGCCCAGTTCGTAACTCGACTCAGGAATCAAGCGAAATTTTGTAATTTCACTGACGAAGAAGACCAAATCCGAGATCAACTGATCCAAGCCATGTCGGACCCGAAGCTGCGCCAGAAACTCCTGGAGGAGAAGAATATCAAACTGAAAGATGCCCTGGTGAAAGCCAGACAGCGGGAACTGGCGACTGTGCAAGCACGGAGCATGGACAGCTCTGCAGAATCGTCCATTCATCAGCAACGATCGTCGTCGTCAGGACCTCACGCTAACTCGTCAGGCAGACATCGTCACTCTGGTGCGGGACCACGTGGAGGTGGTACACAGACTCAATCAGCAACGAGGAATGCTGACTCGGAGTGTTTTTCGTGTGGCCGGAAAGGTCATTTCTCACGTAGCCCTGAGTGTCCAGCACGCGGAAAAAAATGTTCAAACTGTGGGAAAGTTGGACATTTTGCTGTTGTCTGTCGGTCGCAGAGGAAGAAGGACAAGGGAGGACAGCAGCGCAGAGTGCATGATTTGTCTGCTGACGCAGAGCAACAGGACAAGAGCAAGCAGAGCGCCAGTGAACCAGCCAGCAACTCCTACTCGTGCGAAATGTACAATGTCGGCCGAGTGGGTAGTAGCTCAAACAAACCAGTGTTCGTCGATCTGGAGATAAATGGAGATCATCTTCTCATGGAGCTCGACACAGGAGCTGAGCACACCGTCATTCCGGAGAAGCTGTGGCAAGCTAAGTGGTCAGATGTGTCGTTGTGTAAATCGGATATTCGTTTGTGTGCATTTGGTGGAACTGACATTCCTGTTCTTGGTGAAGCCCGTGTTAGTGTGAAGTGTAATGCACAGGTCGTTGAGTGTTTTCTACTCGTTGTAAAAGAGGGCTCTTGTGCACTGCTGGGTAGAGATTGGTTGAGACATATTCGTCTCGATTGGCAAGCCATTTCAGCGTCTTTGCACACAGTCGATCAGCAGCCAGAGTCTGCAGAAGTGTTTAGTGAGTTTTCAGACGTGTTTTCTGACACTCTTGGCTGCATTTCTGAACACATAGCAGAAATTCGTTTGCGAGATATGGCTGTGCCCCGATGTATCCCTGCACGTCCGGTACCGTATGCGTTACGTACCCAGGTAGATCGTGAACTTGATCGTCTAGAGCGTGAGGGCATTATTAAGAAGGTGGAGGCTGCAGAGTGGTCTTCACCAGTTGTAGTTGTACGCAAGCGCAATGGAGACATTCGTTTGTGCGCGGATTTCAAAGTATCCATCAACAAACACATTGATCCACAGCAGTACCCCATACCAAATCCCACAGATCTGTTGTCGTCTCTGGGTGGGGGCAGAGTGTTTTCTAAACTGGGTTTACGGCAAGCGTACGCGCAGCTGAAGCTCAGCGCGGAAAGCCAGAAGCTATGTGTCATCTCGACACATCGTGGTTTGTATGCGTATACAAGGTTGCCATTTGGTGTCTCCAGTGCCCCGTCGATTTGGCAGCGCGTCATCGAACAAATCGTACAGGGTCTTGATGGTGTATCTGTATATTTCGATGACTTACTTATTGCTGCAGGTTCACGGCGAGATCATGACATCCGCCTGAGGCGAGTTTTAGCCCGTTTCCGGAGGTATGGCATTCGTGTTAGTAGGGAAAAGTGTGTTTTCCTACAGGACAGTGTTCAGTATCTCGGGTATACCGTTTCTAAGAGCGGCATAGCCCCGAACGACGACAAGGTGAGAGCTATCTCTGCTGCTCCACCGCCGCACGATGTCGCTTCGTTACAGTCATTTCTTGGCATGGTAAATTTCTATTGTCGTTTCGTACCGAGCCTGTCTACCATGTTGCATCCTTTGCATTGTCTGCTGAAGAAAGGAACTGTTTGGTTATGGTCGGCTGAGTGCCAGAGTGCTTTCGATAGTGTGAAAGATGCATTGACCTCATCTCCTATCCTAACGCATTATCAGAATGACCTGCCTGTCGTGCTAGAAGTTGATGCATCTCCGTACGGAATTGGAGGTTGCCTATTTCACATTGATGAGCAGGGTGAGAAAAAGCCAATCTATTTTGTATCTCGTGCACTCACCGCTGCCGAAAAGAACTACAGCCAAATAGACCGCGAGGGTCTCGCTATTGTGTTCTCTATCAAGCACCTCCATCAGTTTCTGTATGGTCGTCATTTTGTGTTGCGTACTGACCATAAGCCGTTATTACGTATTCTGGGTGCTAATGTTGGCATTGGTAGCACTGTTGCTGCTCGTTTGCAACGCTGGGCTGTGTTTCTTGCCAGCTATGATTACAGTATTGAGCATGTGAAGGGTACTGACAATGTGACTGCTGACTGTTTGTCTCGTCTACCCCAGCCTTTGTCGGCAGAGCAGGAGTCTGTCCTCATTCATGCTATGAACGAATTTACCGCCGATCCATGTGGTGACATTCCTCTGTCTGCACCAGAGGTCGCCAAGGCAACTCAAGGTGATGAGGTATTGTCGGATGTGATGCGATTTCTCAGATTTGGTTGGCCTAGTGATGTAGCAGAACGTTTCGTACCGTACAGCCGCATTAGGGATGAATTGTCCATTGAACAAGGCTGTTTGCTCTGGAAAAGCCGTGTAATCATTCCCAGTACATTTCGACAAGCTCTCCTGCGGGAATTACATTCTGTGCACCTTGGCGTAAACAGAATGAAGTCAGTTGCCCGCTCATTCTTTTACTGGCCTAAGTTGGACTCTGATATTGCTGATTTGTGTGCATCGTGTGAGCTGTGTCAGCAATTTGCTCGAGCTCCCTCTAAGGAGGCTACACACCCGTGGGTTTACCCCAGCCGAGCTTTTGAGCGTGTGCATATAGATTTTGCCGAATTTGAGCACCGTTTCTTCTTTGTTGTCGTGGATGCCTACTCAAAATGGGTCGAAGTATTTGATATGGGCCGTGATTCCACTACGTCGAAGACAATTTCTTGCTTGATGAAATTGATTTCCCACTTTGGTATCCCAAAGTTTATTGTGAGCGATAATGGGCCTCAGTTCACGTCCCACGAGTTTGCGTCATTCTGTTCACAAAATGGCATCATTCACAAGCTCACGCCTCCCTACCATCCAGCATCTAACGGTCAGGCTGAGCGCATAGTCCAAGAGCTAAACAAATCGTTGAAGACACGTCCGCCCACTGTCTCGATTGCTGCTCAGTTGTGTCGTTTTTTGTTTGCCTATCGTACTACTCCGCATAGTACCACACGAGTTTCCCCTGCTGATTTGGTATTGCGATTCACCCCGACGTCCCGTTTTCCATGTTGCAGCCATCCTTTGGTGACACGATGCGTCAGCCAACGATGTCTTCTGGTCCGCCGTCTCGTGGTTTTGTTTCCGGCGATCGAGTTTGGTTCCTGAATCCTGTGCCCCGTGGTGGTCCAAAGTGGCTGAAGGGTGTGGTCCTGAAGCGCTTTGGCCCCCTGACCTACTCCGTTGAGTATGATGGTCGACAACGTACTATACACGTTGAGCATTTGCGCGCGTGCCAGTCGGATGGTACTTCTGTTTGTGTCGACATGTTTCCGTCGACTTCTCCACAAGTTCCAGACACGGCTCCTGTGCCTGTGTTGCCTCCACAGCAGCCATCCTCTCCGGTACTGCCTGTTCCTTCGTCACAACCTACTAGTCCAGTTGCAGTTTCGAGTCCTCAGCCGTCTCTTCCGTCATCTAGTACTACTGTGCCTAGTCCAGCGTCACCAGCTGCTAGCCCCTGTCCGCCTCTTCGTCGTTCTGGCCGTGAGCGTGCTGCTCCGAAGCGCCTGATTGAAGAGATGTAGACTCTTATCTGTACTGTGCAACTTTGCTGTTTACACAGGTTTACACTGTTCCTATTCCTTGAATATGTGACGGTTTGCTCTCAGTTTTTCTCGTTTTCTTTATTCTATCGTTTTCGGTTTTCCTTGGTCAAATGTGGATACTCCCCATTTCTCATTTTAGGGGGGAGGAGTGTTATGGATTGCATGCATGTTATGTGCAACGTCACAGTCCTAGATTACATGCATGCTATGTGTGACGTCATTATCAGATTATCTTAGCTACTGTTACCATGCGCGTAGTTACTGTTGCCATGCGCGTAGTTACTGTTGCTATGCAGCACTCACTGTATCTAGAGTGTGCGCATGTGTGTAATGTGCTTCTCCTTGGATCCATCTTGGCGTCCTGTGCTGCATGTCTTTCCTCTCTGGTTTTACCTTTACTTCCATGTTCCCTTTCAATGCAATGTATTTCTAAACTCTCCGATCCGTGTGTATCAGTGGAACTGTGTATGAGTAGTGTGCGGGCTGAATGCGAACCACAACAACAAACCCGGCCCGGGCCGTATCGCGTATGCCAGCGACACGTGCATGAAAGCAAGTACAGAATGCAGAAAAGTAGCTTGCATGAAAAGTGCGTAGCGTTCACACCTAGGCTGTATGCTAACCCGCACTACAACTCGCGTACTATACAAAGGACTAGTACTGCGCAGTAGGCACGCATTCAAATATGCTGTAGACATGCACTGCATAAATCTCCAAGTCCTCGTACAAACTGTGCAGTGCTGCAAAGGTACAAATAAATAAATATCAAACAAATAATATTATCAATGTGCAGGTCAGCGACAGCTGCACCTGTGCCTTAGATCTTTGCAGAGTGGTGTTGTTCCTATGGATGCTGAGAACTCAGTCTAACCGAGTTTCAAGCTAACGGTGAACTATTTGTTCTTCCTTCCTGTATGTGTGTGCGTGTGTCCAGCACTCTGACCGGGAATAGTAGGCTGATGGATCTTCCACAAGGCTTGCTCAGCACACATCCTCGCCCCTCGTCTGTACTTGTGTAAGTTTGATTAGCTTGCAGTGACGTTTGGCAGTTGTTGCTCATTGGCGTCGGAACCGGTGCGGCAGGTGCGGCCAAAGCCGCACGAATAATTTCATTAAAGTGAAACAAGGAAAATTGCAGGGCACAAGTTATGCGTTAGGCCATAGTCTTGGCTCACCATCAGAACAATTTCATCTTGTGACTTCTGAAGCAATGGAATATGGGCTATTTGTGCCCAATTTACCTATAGTTCTCCCGGGGAAAGACCCCGCACACCTAGCCCATTCATGGCCGGATCATTGCAAAATAAATACCTTCCCATGCCCCAGTTGCTCCAAAGGCAAATTAGGTTTTTGAACCCCGGACTGCATCTGGTTTGTGAAGTTGACTGTCATGGAGGACTGTAGTATTGAATTGCTTTATCTAAGCCAAGCAGCGTAAATGGACAAAATTCCGCATCAAGGGATAAAACCGTGCAACAAACGCTCTCAATAATGCAACCAAGAGGACTGTGCGATACTGTAAACCACCCAATGTTTGCGTCAATAAATCTTTGCAATCTCTCAGGACCAGCGAGTTTACGATGGCAAATGTTTGCGGAGCACTGTGGCCACACATACGCCCACTTCTGCTGGTGCTGGTGCTGCTGCTGCGGTGGCCTGATGGTTCTGCGCCATCTCGATAGGTAAATGCACTAAAGAAATCCAACCGCGAGTCAAAAGTATCGCCGCGTTTCTATTTCAATTACATCATGCATGCGACGACTCCAGTCATTTCGATGGCGTGGGTTCGAATCCCACCGCTGCCACCAATGTTGTAACTCGCTTTCTCTTCCTGCTCCCAGTTCCGTGCCATCTCCACACTTGTACAAATGGACGACGATAACTACATTTAGAAGACTGTTTATTGACACGACGACGAAACACAACTATACATGACGAACTCAAGACGAAGACATCATGAACTCGAGACGAAGACACACTGAACTCAAGACGAAGACAGCTTTTCACACCACAGCAACACGCGCATGCACCAACATGACGTACACACGACGTACACAAAATAACGTACTACAACACATGTTCCCAGAACGGATGTCAAGACTAAAGATTGCAAGAAATGGCCGGAGCTACTGTAAACTAGGCCTAGAACTAAGTTACATGTGTTCTACATGGACAATCGAAGGGACCACGGACCTAAGCCGGGACCCAATGCACGCTTGGACTACAAGGAACAACAGCACAAATCAAACTAACAAGACCGGGTGCTCACCTGAGGAGGCGCGCCAATGCGGAGCCTGGGCGTTCGTAGTACGTCATTAGGAACACCGGCTGACACAGCGACGAGCTTCAGGGTCGTGGATTCGATGAGTTGGGCGCCAAATGTCGTCTCGGATGGAGAACGGACGACTCCGTTTCACGGGGACCAGATGATCACCTGAGTAGGCGCGCCAATGCGGGGCCTGGGCGTTTGTAGTACGTCATTGCATGGTGGAGCGGCGACGAGAAGAGAAACACCGGCTGACACAGCGACGAGCTTCAGGGTCGTGAGGTGAAGACGAGCTAATAGTTGGGCACCAAATGTCGTCGCGCAAAGGACGAACTATCTCTTCGCATTCGTCCCGCCACACAAACAAAGGGTCTAGGAAAATGGTTGTTCTCGGTTGGAGAGAGATCTTTTTCTAAACCACACTTTACGACTCGAGGAGAGAACTGAACTCCCACAAGACAAGACAAGAGAATATATTGTGGGGACGTGGAAAAAGTGGGGAAAAAGTGGGGCGATGGAGACGAAATAGGTGCTCAAAAGTGGGGCGTGGAAGCGAAATAGGTGCTCAAAAGTGGGGCGGGGAAGCGAAATAGGTGCTCAAAAGTGGGGCGTGGAAGAGAAATAGGTGCTCAAAAGTGGGGCGTGGAAGCGAAATAGGTGCTCAAAAGTGGGGCGTGGAAGCGAAATAGGTGCTCAAAAGTGGGGCGTGGAAGCGAAATAGGTGCTCATGAACTACATGTATACTAGTCCCGAACGGGACAGGAGACAAAGACGGCAGACGATGAAATACGACGGACACAAGACGGCAACTGGACAAATACAACGGAGACAAGACTGCAACCGGACAAATACAACGGGGACAAGACGAGAAAATGCGTATACAACGGGGACGAGATGAGAAAGAATGCATACGGAGGGGACAGAAGACGGTGCAGTGGCATGTACAAAGCATTCCAAGACAGCGCAGCAGCGTGTACCACGGGTCAGCCGCATGTACGACACAGAGACACAAACGCAGCCACATGTACGACAAAGAGACACAAGCGCAGCCACACGTACGACAAAGAGCTACAAGCGCAACCACATGTACAACATTTGCATGACGTAGACTTTGATATTGTGGGTATGACCTACTGTGTCTGTGTGTTCTCAATGCCAATGTTCAGAACAACGGACGAGACACTTATTGG